AGTGTATAATATATTCTATGAGATGATCAAATATACATACATATATATATATATATATATATATATATATATATATATATGTATGTGTGTGTGTGCATATATATATACATATCTGTACGCAATATATGTATATAGAATTATACTTATAGAAAAATAAGAGAAGAATAAAAATACACGCGCGTGCGTTGTAATAAATATACTTTTAAACATACTCAATCACGTATTCTTTTTTTTTTTTCATGACGTATAGTATCCGTTATATTGCGTATGCTGCAACATGTTGTTACTGAACAGTTGTTTTGGGATATTATGCACACATGTATATGTGATTAGTAAGTAGTATACTATAATGTAAAATAATTATATGAAATGAAGTTAAGCAAATATTAAGAATAATAATATAGATTTTGTAAAATATTTGTTTTTTTGTCATTGTACTTTGCTTTAAAATTTTATTCTCTTATTTAATTTAATGTTACAATTTTCAATTTTAGTGATTATAATTTTGTTTATTTCTACGATTACTGGTCAGCTTTGAGAGCTGCCTATTTTTCTAGTCAGAAATATAATTTACTAACAAGGCAAGAAAAATATAATGCCGTAAACGGGGTAGAACAACTGAAAACTTGGATGAATCAAAAGCATTATCCTGTAATAAATGTAATACGAAAATATGATCAGTCACGGTTTAAAGTCGAGGATATAACAATAGAAATTGTCAATATAACAGAGAGGTTGACTTATACTACGCAGATACAATTGGATTTTAATAATACTTCGCCTGATATTTGGCTACTCTACGAAAAATATATGGCGCAATCCAATAAACGATATATTCGGAAGATTGAAAATCTCAAAAGCGATCAATGAATCATATTCAATTTACAACAAACTGGTAAATATTAACTTATAAATATTATTCTCTTATATTTATTCTAAGTAATTAAATTTTATTCATTAGTTCATATTTTCATTTTTATATTTCGAACTAATCCAAAGTATATATATATTTCATACATAATTAAATATATAGCAAAAGATATACAAAGTAAACTAATAAAAATGACCACCAAGATTCGGTCAAAAAGCATATATTATATCAAATATGCTTTTTTACAGATTCGCGATTGTCAATGTTCAATGGTTTACCCTATATATGTATTAAACCAAGAAAAAATACAATTAAAATTACAGTTCATTTCCTTTTGCATGTAATTCAAACAATTTATTTTTTGAATAGTAACAGTGATAGGTTAAGAGCACGAACAATACAAAGTGGAGAAGTTGGCAAATAAGTGTCAAAGCGCGATTATTGGTTCCCTAATTTTTTATTGTTAAATCGTAGTAATAAGCTTGTGTTACATCCGGGCTCGTGGAAAATTAAATCGGGAAGGAACGCAAGTTATACTTATATTAATTATATTATATCTTCGAAACACACTCTCTCTTTCTGTTACGAGACAAGTGTTTCCGAGTGGAATGAACAATGCTGGGCCTAAGACAGGTCAACGGCCGGAAGGGTCGCTCTTACTCTGTCAGTAGGGCGTTCATTCGGCGGTCTCTTTTCAGTAAGGGAAGTGAATCCCTGTTATGCAAGGGATCTTGTGCGATCTCAGAATACGGGAAAGAGAACGGGTTGATAAGCTATTCGTATTTAAATTATAAATGTTACATTTATTCAAAAAAAGGAAGAAGAAATTTTGAGAGATAAAATATATTTAACATTCGGTATTATATGTATAAAAATTAATTATTCTTAAAATTTAATGTATGCGTGTGTGTATATATGAGTGTGAGAGTGAAGGAAAAGTTTTCTCGCGAGTATTACATAAATACGGAGGACATCAACCGGAATAAAAAAGGGAACACTAAAATTTAAATTCCGGCTGGGAATTTACATATAAAAAATTTCAAAAATATAATATAAATTACTAAATAAATAAGAATGTGAATGGGAAAGTAAGGATAATAAAATTATTGTACATCTTCAAATTCTATTGTGGAAGGAGGATGGAGCTTTATCCAAAGGGCTTCAATAGGGACGGCTATGGGAACTCGGGAGCCCGGGAGAAAAAACGGGATAATAGAGCCAGCAGGACTTTCCGTAAGGACGCGGTAAAATTCGCCGAGTTCTACGTAATTTGGGCCTACGCTGTAGACTTCCTCAGGAAAGGGATCCTGAATAGGAGGGAACTGTTCTAGGAGATATCTATATCGGGTTTCTCGAGCCTGTTCTTCATAAAAGTCCGACTCTCCTTCGGGATCGTTAGATCTCTGTTCGAAATCTTCCGATTCCTCTTTGAGATCTGGCAGTTCTTCCACGAAGTCCTGGAGGGCCTCCTCAAAATCGTGCGACGCTCTTGGAAGATCACCCGATTCGAGGCCTGAGGAAGGAGGGGGAATAGGAATCCTCGTTGACTGAGGTTGTTTGGAAGAGGCAGGTGAATAGAAAGAGGGAGGAGCGAGAGTAGAAATCCTCGTCGGCTGAGATTGTTCGGGAGAGGCAGGTGAATAGAAAGAGGAAGGAGGGGGAGTAGGAATTCTCGTCAGCTGAGATTGTTCGAGGGGGACAAGTGAGTGAGGACACTCAGGGGAAGACGCTAGCGAATAATGAGGAAGAGAAGAGATGGAAGGAAGAGGTTGTGACCCAGACAGCACAAAAATGTCCTTAGGACGTCCAAAGGGCATTCAGGACATACATGTAGGATATCCTGAGGATATCCTATTTTAATCCTCGGATCTCCTCTGGATGTCCTGAGGAAGAGTAAATGATAGCCGTACACTAGCCTCTGGAGAATCCAGGGAGATCCTGTGGAACATCTTAAGGATTTCTATAGGATATGTTAGGGATATTTTTCATACGTTAAAAGGAACAAATTCTAAAATTTAAATATAAATTAAGATTGCGTTCTGTTATTTACTGCCAATACTAAAAATCTAATACTAAAAATAGTTCACGTTCTTTAATATTTGAGGTTTTCGTGCTGTACATGAATATTTTAGGTTTGGCTTCCGGGTTTGAGTCGTGTAATATTTTCAAAACAATCCAATATCTGAATTCCTTATGTTGGGATTGCATCAGCATCAGAAATTGAACTGATAAAAAATAATTATATTTTTAATTTCCTGTTAGTTGCTCTTTGCAAGCTTTATATAATTCTCATGACCAAATCTCAAATACGAGTTCGCGCGTCGCATAGCGGTAAACAAACGAACTAGCGGTTGAATACTATTTTTTGTAAAGTTTTTGGAATGTTGCGCATAGTAACATTTCTCATGAAATATTAAATAAATAATAATTTTGAATATATGAAAATGTGCGCATCAAATTCAATTATTAATATTAAACGAAATTAATGTTAACAATTAATTGCACATGTATATATCCTCTGGAAATCCAAAGGACATCCAATATAATAGACAGGGCAGATATCCTACAGACATCCAGGGGTTATCCAGGGGACATTTATAGGACATTAATACTTATTACAATACTTAAAATTTCTAAATTATATTAAATAGCCTACATAACCGAAAGTAATCATGTATGCATATTAAATTTTCATAAAATATATTTATAATAATATCTTAAAACATCCTACAAATATCCTGAACCATCCTGGACATATTCAGGATGAACCTGAGGACATTTTGTGCTGTCTGGGTCACTATGTAGAAAAAGCAAAATCTCGCAAGCTTACAAATATATGTTTAATACTACAAACACAATAATGAGATATTAAAACAGTGACATACGCGAGGTTAGGATATCTGTCATATGTGCAGTAGGCAATGTATAAAAACGTTCTGTTAAAATATTTTTATTATTTATATATGGGTTTATTTTTTGTATATATATATTTTTCCTGTTGTTTGCTATCCGTAAACAATTAATAATTGTACTCTTTCGAAATTAAAATTCCACATATATCACGACATCGTGAGATTTTACGTGCAAAAGAGTACCGTACAATTATTAAATGTTTACAGACAATATATCATACATAAAACACAGATATACAACAAAAAAACCATATATAAATAAAAACATTCTAACAGGTCGTTTTTATATATTGCTTACTGCATACATGACAGATATCCTAACCTCATGTATGTCACTATTTTAATATCTTATTATCAGTTTTCAGTATCAAACATATTTGTAAGTTTACGAGATTTTGCTCTTCGTACAAAATGACATTGGGTAAGTATTCTTTGCTAATGTGATAGAACTTGGGTACTTTAGTAATGTGGGACAGTTCTTATTGTTAAATATAAATAATAAGACATTACAATTAAAAACGAGTATTTTCTGTTATATCTTCTTAGCTTATAATACAAGAGTATGTATATGTAACATAAGTCTAATAATTTTCAAGTCATTAATCAATTTCTTTTATTTAGAGTGAGATCTTTACGCTAGAAATAAATCATTTTTGGGTCTACGTGTGCTGGGATAACTATTGTACAAGTACAGTATGAGGTGATGTTTTTAAGTATTGTGTTTTCTGACTGTTCGTTTAACCTAAAGAAAGACTGAATTGTGATGATGACAATTATGCTGGTAAGATTGCTTTACAAGATCTTAATGTCACGCTACCTATTTATATTATATCATGTTTATTTTCATATTAAGCAGGCAAAAGTAATAACTCGGCACTAATTTGCAAACCAAGAATCCAGCTTGCATCGAATGTCTGGAGGGAATCCATTAACAAAGCACGAGAATCTTTTAAGCGAGAGTTCAATATTATAGTCTCCGCTAATAGAATCTTGTGATCTGTAATGGAATGATCAACGCTCATTCATTAACTTGCAGTGTCTGTTGAAGCAATAATGATTTTGTACTGTTGACGTGTTAGAAGATTGAATATGAAGATTGAGTTTGAAGATTGAACATTTATATCGCTATTCAGTTAGTGAATATATCAACGAAGACAGTGCTTTGGCATATTATATCCAAATATGGCATATTGTAATATTTATATTATTATACATATTATATATATCTCACAAAAGAAAAATCTTACAACATTTTGTTCTTAACCGATTTATCAGCATTACAATTACATTGCAGTGTACATATGAACACATTATTTTTCAGAGAAATAATCTTGTATCAATATGATAATTATATTTATAATAATTAAAAAATACTTGAAGGTTTACATATATGTACTATCACATATAATGCATATACATATGTTGAAATATGGAATTATTAGAAATATTAGAATAGATATATTTATATATTTGTGTATCGGTGTATTTCATATGGTGAACGAAAAATTTTACCGCACTCTTTCGCACTTGAAATCTTACGATGCCGTGACATACTTGAAATTTTAAGTGCGAAAGAATACGGTATAATTCTTCATTGTTCACCATACGAAATACACCGATATACAAATATATAAATATATCTATTCTAATATTTCTAATAATTCCATATTTCAACATATGTATATGCATTATGTGAGACAGTACATACATGTAAATCTTCAAGTATAATTATTACAATATAATTATCATATTGATACAAGATCATTCTTTGAAAAATAATGTATTTATATGTACACTGCAATGTAATTGTAAAATTGATAAATCGGTTAAAACAGAATGTTATAAGATTTTTCTTTTATGATATAGATAATATACATATATAATATATACATATATAATACATATATAATAATATATATATTACAATATGCCACATTTGCATATAATATGCCAAAGCACTGTCTTCGTTGATATATTCACTAACTGAATAGCGATATAAATGTTCAATCTTCAAACTCAATCTTCATATTCAATCTTCTAACACGTCAACAGTACAAAATCATTATTGCTTCAACAGACACTGCAAGTTGGTGAATGAGCGTTGATCATTCCATTACAGATCACAAGATTCTATTAGCGGAGACTATAATATTGAACTCTCGCTTATGGTCAAACTTGAAATATGAATTTAGGACCTTAAAACAAGAAAAATTTTTACTCTGGAAGTATGCTCGCAAACGCTTCGTTCAAGAGATATTGGCCCGTATTCTGAGCTCACATCTATTTTTAGATGTGCCTCTAAATGTATCTTAGATGACACAATAAATGTGGCGGTATTCTGAGCGCACATTTAGCGGCATATTTAGAGGCAGATCGCCATTTTTAGCTTAAATGCGCAACTTTATAGTGAAAATCGTATTCTGAACCACATTTATAGCACATTTATGCCATTCTCGATAAATGTACCACTAAATGTGCCCGAGGGTACATTAATACGTACATTTCCCAGACAGCACAAGGATGTCCTTAGGACGTCCAAAGGGCATCCAGGACATACATGTAGGATATCCTGAGGATATCCTATTTTAATCCTCGGATCTCCTCTGGATGTCCTGAGGAAGAGTAAATGATAGCCGTACACTAGCCTCTGGAGAATCCAGGGAGATCCTGTGGAACATCTTAAGGATTTCTATAGGATATGTTAGGGATATTTTTCATACGTTAAAAGGAACAAATTCTAAAATTTAAATATAAATTAAGATTGCGTTCTGTTATTTACTGCCAATACTAAAAATCTAATACTAAAAATAGTTCACGTTCTTTAATATTTGAGGTTTTCGTGCTGTACATGAATATTTTAGGTTTGGCTTC